AATATACATCGCTGTCTTATTTGAAGCACTACAATTTAGAAAATCTCTTTGTTATAGCAGCTTTGCCTATATGTTATCTAATACAGTTGGAGATCATTTTATTATTCTCTGTACTTTTTGGTATGTCTACATAGAATTTAAGGACCCACCACGGATTTATTCCTCTGTAGTATGAGATGTGTCACATTTATTCATTCAAAGAGCATTTATTGAGCATGTACTATGTGTCATATACTAGGCCAGGTATTAGGGATATAGTGGTGAGCAAAACTGATATGATAGTCACTTTGAAAGTTTTTTGCCCCTAAAATCTGTGAATCTGATCTTACCAATGAGTAGCCTCTACTTCTACTCTATACCTTGTTTGAGTTGAAGGAGTACTGCAGAGAGGCAGTTATTTCAAATGACTCTCCACCTAATTAAAACAATTGAAACAGCAGGGCTCGGTGGCTCAGCCTGTAATCCCGCACCTTTGGGAGGCTGAGGTGAGTGGATTGCCTGAGCCCGCGGGTTCGAGACCCGCCTGGGCAGCGAGACCTCATCTCTACAATAAATTAAAAATTAGCTGGGCGTGGTAGCGCGCGCCAGTAGTTCCAGCTACTTGGAAGACTGAGGCGGAAGGATCGCCGGAGCCCAGCAGGTCGAGGCTGCAGTGGCCGGGAGTGGCCACTGCACTCCAGTCTGGGCGACAGAGTGAGACTCCAACTCAAAAAAAACCAAACAAACAAACAAGGAAAATGACAACAAGAAATACAGAAAAAAAGCAACCTAACTGAGGAAGAAGGTGAAGGGAATTTCCAGCGGAAGGGTAAAGATCAGGGTTGACAGCTTCACTGCAGGTCTAGAAAAAAATCAGCCTGGACTGAAGTAAGGAGACAGAAGGCTCTAGAAGGGATGTTTTCAGGAAGAAAAAAAGAAAATGCTCGATATGTGTGAACACACAAAGTATATTTATATAGCAGAATTAGAACTAGTGACAAATAGTAACTCAGCAAGCCAAAAATGGGTAATTATTCCGCCAAAAACCCAAAAAGTTATACCAGAAAGGAAATATAATTCTAGTATACTATTAGAAGCAGTTGTGAATGACAATGACATAGTTAATACAATGTAGACACTGAATGCTGATATTATTGACAACAAAGCTGAGTGAAGGGAAAGCATGTGTTTGGTATTGAGGGAAAGGAGGCTGTAAGAGCGTTAAATCCTCATTTACCATAAAAGGAAAGCAACAAAAAATACTCCCTCAAAATGAAAAATCAATAGCAATAACAATCAAAGTATACTATTTAGAAACAGGCACGTCAAATGCAGAAGAAAGAGTTAAGAGCAATTTCTGAGAAAGAGAAATTTGAAATGAAGAGGTGTGGTGGAGCAGCTGACTGCTGTTTCTCACTGTCAACTATGCATGCCATTTGACCTTTTAAAACTATGTAAATATATTATTTATTTATTTATTTACATGGGGATGGGATCCAGGCTATGTTGTCCAGGCTAGTCTCAAACTCCCAGGTTTAAGGAATCCTCCTGACTCAGCCTCCCAAAATGCTAGGATTATAGGTATATGCCAGTGCATCCAATTAATTTTTTAAATGTAGAAAAAAGATATGTTTACAAAATTAATCATGTAAAATTACCAAGTCAGGAGGTCTTGGCTTAAATCTAGTATCTGTCTTGCTGTGGTTAATTTAAAACAAAAACAGAAAAAGACAGGTTCATTCACACATTCTATCATTTAAAAAAATCTTCTTAAGAAAATATTATTAGTACAGTGTTGGGAGCCAGTCTTGGAGGCCCACCAGACTGACAGGGTCCTGGTGACCCCGGGACACAGGCTACTGGAAACTCATTGTCCATCTTTCCACTTCCCACTACATTATTTGACCTGTCCCTTTTGCCCATGTGATGACTCTGAGGCATGTTTAAAAGGCTTTCTTTCGCTTGGTCGTGGGTTACAGATCTTGTTTTTAGGGTTAGGATTTGTGACTAATACCTGGTAAAAAGAGGTTTCTGATTTTGTTTAGCCAAAGAATTGTTTTGAATATTTCTACCTATTATTTGTAGTTGTAGTTATGGTGTTTGAATACAAGGCATAAGATTTAAGTGTAGTAAAAGTTTATATTAAGGCATATGTAGGTGATTTATAAGTTTGTTTTGAGATACATATTAAGTATAGTATATAAAAAGTTAAAGGGTTTAGATGTAGAATTTAAGTGAGTAAAACAGGTTTATCTAACAACCGAAACTACTTGAAGCCTGAATAACATCACTAGAAGTTTCTTCTAA